AATAGATGAGGGGCTTATTTTTACTTAGACAAAGAGTTCAAGGGCCAATTGGATAATTTGCCCTTTTCCTTATGAGAGTTTTTTAGGTTTTTATCTTTATGAAATTTGAGATTTTGTAAATTTACAATCTAGTTTCTCAAATCTACAATTTCTCAATTATTGTCAAATCTAAATTTCTCTTTGAACTTGAACCAGTTTTAATTAAATTTGATTGTTAGCAAACATGGACTGGTGTATAGGAGTACAGTGATTCATTCAGATGGAAGATATGTAGAACAATCAATGTTATCTTTCTTTGTATTATTTTCTTAGATCTGTTATATCTATTGATTTCAAATCTATATGTATCAATGTCATATTTGTTTGATGTATTTTCTGCCATTAGTGCAGATTTGTTTTAATGAAATTATCTTTTCTATATACTCGATATTAAACAGAATAGTCACTCAACCTATGATTCTCTGGATTATTCAATAAGATTATAGACAACTTCACTCACTACTAATTGATTTTGAAATTAAAGTCCAAGCTATTAAATACTTGATTCTGTGAATTGACAATTGAAATTTAGCCCTGTGGATTCTTGCAAAAGATTTTTGTGCCTCTGATATCTAATGGAACATTTTCTTAGGGGTAGAAGTGATTGAATCTTAGCCACCACCTAGTGGCGCAAACAGGGAATGGGCAGCTCCATGGCAGGGAGAACAACCTGCATTTGTGGATCTTGATTCCCAGCATGTCCAGCTTTATGCCACTAGTTAAGTTTATCCTAATTCCCATCGATATGGCCGACGAAATGCAACGTTTGTACCTTGTATGAGAAGAGAGGAATCATATTCTTAGACAAGCACAATAACTTGGGCAAAAGAACTTTGTCTTATTAATTAAACATCAAATTCTGTAAAGAAAAGGAAAGCAGTTTTGGTTCTCAATATTTGGTGTCTATATGGTTTTACTCCTTAAAGTATTGACAAAAACAAATCTTATTCTCAATATTTAGCACTTAGTACAATTTTAGTCCTTAGAGTTTTGACAAAAACAAATCTGATCCCCAATTTTTCCAATTTGAAAAAGATTAAGACAATTGACAAATGTTTTTCAATTACTAATGCAATCAGTCACGTGTTTGTTAAATTAATTTTTTTTTAAAAAAAAATAATGGCTAAGTTTGAAGAATAACAATAACACACGTAATGGCACATGAGTAACTAATTAATCAAGAAATAGAAAAAAAAAATTGTAGAACTATATACAAAAATTGAATGTTAGGTTTTTTGGCTTGGGGTGGTAGGGATAGACAAAGACAGTGGGTTCTTGATCGTGAATTGATTGCTTGATTTCAATTTTGTAGTTTAACAAATTTTTCTTAACTAATTAATTAGTTAGCACATGAGATCTTATTGTTTAAAGTTAGCTATTATTTTGCTTCTTTATTTTTAAATTCATTTCAATCGATACACGACTGCATGTGACTGAATTATGTCTGTGAAAAAAATTCATGCGATGTCTTAAATCTGCTTCAAATTGGATATATATTTCTTGCCAATAGTTTAGGAACCAAAATTTTACTAGAGAAAATTATTACAGGCGATTACTGGTTAAGCACCAACTGCTGTTTGGATAACATTAACCAAGCCAAATGAACTAAGAAATCCTCTAACAATATGATAGAGGCAGAGAAAGAATTGACACGTTATTACCTAGAAAACTAAAATGAGTAAAGACTTAGAAATTAAAAATTTTTGGCGTGAATAACTTTGGCATGTTGCAAATTTCAATGGTTGTGGATTTTGATTAGGAAGAGATGATTTGGAATAAAAACTATCAATTAACAGAGCAACTAAGAATTAATGTACCGTGAGGGCAAGTTCTTCGGGATGATGTGTAGAAAAGTCTGCTTCACCAATGATACCAGCTGGATAAATTTCATGGCCAGCATGTCTAACAGCAAGATAATAACGTATGAGTTCTCGAGGATTTGGTCGGAACGTTATTCCCACAGGAAGGTTTCGCTTCCATGCATGGCCATCTTGTTGGTGATGGTCGTTGTCATGGAAAACTATAGGCAGTGGTGGTTGACTTGAAGAAGCCGCCATGCTGAGCTCAATTTGCTGGTATTATTAGTAATCTAATTGTAATGAATAAGTAAATCTAGTAAACGGCCAATTATGCTTGAGGGTAAAAAGGGCTTTAAATAATACTGTAGTTAATTTGTATCCTAATTGCAATCCTTATTTGGTAAGTTGAATTGTTTAAGGACTGGAATTAGATGTTCAAGAGGAAAGGAACAAAAATTTAGGATTACCCTACTCCTACTCCTACTCTATCTACGAGGAGGCTCAACTGAACTTATGGAGACCGATGGGGACAGAACCACCACCGGACCAGACGGGTGCACTACGCACCCGTTTGGATTTGAAGCAGAGCCTTAAGGGCTTGGTGGTGGCCACCAGCCCAAGAGCTGGCGGTTAATTGGGTAGTGCCCAATGCTAACTTATTTTGACCGCAGTTTTAGATATGTGTGTATGTGTGTACATATACATATACATACATATATATATATATATAGTTTCTGTCTAATAGGTGCTGAAATACACTTCAGGACTTAATTTTTGGAAAAGTAAATTAGAAAAAAAATATATAAATACAAAGGAAGATAATAATTGTTTGTATCTGTATAAACATCATAGAATTTAGATATATTAACAAGTACCAATTGTTCATTAAAAAAACTCTCTCACACACACCCATTACTTGTTAGAATTTAGGTATGTGCAATCTATATATGTATGTATTTACGTATATGTATATGTATAGTTTCCATCTAATAGGTTATTAGATTTTTTAATAAAGGATTATGTCCCACATTAGTTCGAGAGATGAAGAAAAAACACTTAATATGTAAACAAGGGTTCAAAACCTAATAGTTTAAATTTTTGGGTCAGAGTTAAGTTCCTGACTTATATATTTGACTCTTTGATGGGTTCTCTAGAAGTGTTTCTCCCTAACAAATGGTATCAGAATTTGGTTGCGAGTGAATTGGTCACAAGTATTTGGATCCCAATAAGTAGTATCAGAGTTTCAGGTTGCGAGACAGGATTACTCATGGGCAAGTGAATTATTTTAGAAGTTGGACGAGTGAAAATTTTCTTCTTGCTGGTGAATCGAAATGCTAAGGAATTTGGTTAGTATTGGATAAGGTGCGCCATGGGTTTGATAAGGAGTCTAGAGTTTCAGATTGCGAAAGTGGGCTACTGATGGGCAAGTGGATTTTTTTTCAGAATTGGACAAGTGACAATTCTCTTTTTGGTGGTAGATCGAAATGCTAAAGAGTTTGGTTGGTGTTAGACCAGGTGCACTATGGGTTTGACAGGGAGTCTGATTGGTGTTAGATCAAAGAGGCAAGGGTTGACAGGGGTCTACAATTCAATTTGGATGTTGAAGAAGAGTAGGTTCATGATTAGAAGAAAATGTGACCTTAAGTATTCAAGTGGGTTTGCATTGAATATTAAAGTGAGTTCGGAGAAAAACTTATAAATTTGGGTTTTAATGTAAGGGGTCACTCATGAAAGAGGAGATTTGTTAGATTCATGAATAAAGAATTATGTTCCACATTAATTTGATTCGAGAGATGGAGAAAGAATGCTTATGTAAGTAAGGATTCGAAACCTAATATATTAAATTTTTTTATTAAAGTTGGATTCCTGACTTACATATTGGACTTTTTGATGAGTTTTCTAGAAATCTTTAATGAGTCACAAGTACTTGAATCCCAATATAGGTACCCAGTGGGCATCATTAAAATGTACTTTAGGAGTTAATTTTTGGAAAGTTAAAATTAATTAGAAAAATGTGTAAATGCAAGGAAAAATAATAATTATTAGTGTATATATACATAATAAAATTTAGATATGTTAACAAGTGTTCAATGTCCATTGGCCACCTATTAGAAAAACTCACACACATACGCTTACACGCACAATCGAACCGTGCTAGACATCTATACTTATCCTTGTGAATTTTGATAACCGAACGAACGGTGTGTGCATATTTTCATGTGAGACACTGATCTCAAGAGTGCAGATGTGATGACTCCAGTGTTTATTTTAGCTACTTTGTAAATCTGGCAACTTGAACCTTGTTTGGATTGCACTTTTCTAGATTTTTTGTAGAAAAATTACTGTAACGATTTGATATATGTGAGATAAAAAAGTAATAGAAAAATGTGTTCACGAAAAACGTAACAATTTTTCTAACGAAAATCACTGTCCAAACAAGGTAAGTCAAAAAAATATCATATAAGTTGTTTTGTTCCTAACTCAGTAGCCACCACCAAAATTGGTGAGGTAGAAGGTCAGGGGATCAAACCTTATCTCCCACCATTGACCACAATAATGTGACAAGCCACTTCAACCTCTTCAAATCCTCCTCTCCCTGTAGCATAAAATAATTGTAGATCTATCGTATCGACAAAAAAAAAATTTTGTTTTGTTCCTAGGCTGGTCTAAAAGAAACCACTGGTTAAAAAATTGTCCACTTGACGGATTTGATTTTAAGGTAGAACATATCAAAGATCCTCTTGATTCAAACAAAAAAAAAAAAGTTTAGCTGCATGTAATGTTGCTATCAGAGAGCGTCAAAAGCTTTTCAAAGAATTTCTAAAAGAACAAAACTTCACTATTTTATATATCGTCTGAGAATCTTTCTAAAGTGGGACTAGCAAATAAATCACTGTTACAATGAGAAGATCCTACATGAGATCCACCAGGGCGTTGCGTTGAAAAAGCAAAAGAAAATGGCGCATCCCACAACATAAATAAGGTTGTGGAATGTTGAGATTTAGTGGAAAAGAATTGTATTTTCTTTGTTTAACTGAACAATATGATGACAACAATATACACCAATAGTGGCCCTATAGGGAAATGGGCAGTGTTAATCATACTTTACGATGGCTAAACAAGACGTGGCTGTTCTCTTGCGTTTGGAACCCCAGCAAAAGTCCACTTTGCAAATCTTTTTTTTGGTCCCCAGATAGCCTTGGCAATTTGAAGCTCCACAGTGGCACCTAACCTCTGGCCCGAATTGTATGAATCTGAGAAGCATATGCATAAGTTTACAATGCTAAGCAGCAGAGTATAACTGATTAGCTGATTCTCCAAGATAAAATCATTCCTACCAAAGAATGGCTACAGGGAATTAGCCCTGGCACTTGCACCAACTAGCAAAACCTTTTCTTGAAGATGCTTTATTTGAGATGGTATAGAGCACTAGACTAGAGTGTGAAATAAAATGAAAGGAGAACTAGTAGAAGAAACTCACAGCAAATTGAGTAAAATAAAATGAAAGGATTTTTTAAGTAAATGAAATTCACTGCAAATTGGGTAAAGAAACTGCATTAAGACTCATCCCCAAACTGAGTTAAAGAACAAAGAGAAGTCCCTGGTAAACGGAAGACTCAGATTCCAGCTATATCCAATATCTGTCTCATTGAGGCATACCCTCCATATCAATTTCTCTATGTTAAGAGCAGCAGTAGCAATTTTTGCATCAGCCAATTTTATTAATAGCCAAAATCAGCGGCCTTTGAAGATTTTCCTTAACAGACAAAATCAAATATGTAATTATACGAACGAAGTCATACCGATAATCATAGGTTAGTGGTTCTCCAACTTCAATAGTTCGAGCAGCAAAGACACCAACACGAGTCTCCCCTTCAACCTGCCTTCAGCAAATGCATCAAATTTAAAGTCAGCACACATCATAACAAGACAATTTCTGTATAAAGACCAAAAAGAGTTCTTCACTGCACTTTTAGTGATGAGAATCAGGTCAATCAACAAAATGTCCATAGGATTATCAGATCCAGCATATATGACTTAATTCCCAAAAGGGTGCTGTCATTTCATCGAAGTACTTGATTTAATACTTGACACAGAAAATGGTTAATAAATGTTAGATCCCAAGCTTTCATTCATTGTTTCAACGGAGAGTATAATGGACACAAAAGGTTCCAACAGTGTTCATCTTTTTGCTTCAAGCTTGGTTCCTCGCAATTATAAGACTATCAAATTTTCCGGCATATGTCCAACTAAACAAGCCAAATATTGTGAGAGGCAAGTAAACTGACTACAAGGATAAGCAAGCCGTTAGATTTCCATTGTCAGACAACCTAAAAAGGTTCATTGTGTTTTCTTAGAAAGAGTAAAATTAATACAAAATCATTAGGTGATTTAGATCAACTTACAAACTCGTAGCATCTGAAAACGATCAATATGAATAATCTGAAAAGTATAACCAAAAAAATTAGAAGTTCATTTCACTTACCATTTTTCTAATTTACAATTTGGATTGCAGCTATGGTTCAGAAAACGAGAAGAATTTCCCTTAAATGTTGCATCAATTGTAAAGTCCTTCCGAATTTCACACATGTAGAAGTTCTCGACTTCTTTGAACTTCATCTCCCATAGTCTTTGCTCGCATAAAGCATCATTTATAACTGTAAAATGTCAAATATGTATCAATTTTAGAAATGATATGCGAATCTTCCTGATAGTCTAGATGAGGATTTAAAGTTCTGTGAACAGTCATAGAAAAATAAAATACCAACTGTTCTGCACTTTCAAAAGCATAAGTATGTTTGCAATATGATAAACCATTAGTAGCTACATTACAACTCAAATACCATTAAAAAGAGGAAGGCTAGTACTGCTTGCTATTGTTTTATGTAGAATGCTGCAGTTCTTTTGTCTGGAGTTATATTACAGAGAAACAAATGGAATTCCCTGTGAAGAATGTTAAACTCATTTAGTGAGGACCCTTGGAAAGCTACACCTACCTCCTTTTTGCCTGAATGTTCGAGAGCCAATTCTCTGAAATATTTGCCTGAAGATAAAGGGCCAATTTCAGCCCAGTGTGGAATTCCAAAAGTTAAGGGTGAGAGTTGCCAGTGTGCATTTGACACTCTAGTTAGGTACGAAATAGGGTTCCTAGATAACTGTTTCTGTATGGTTAGCCAGGATCAACAACTGGCAACTAAGTCTATACAGGTACTGGGGGATCTCGCACCACTCATCTTTCTTATTTCACCAATGGGAGGGACCTTAGGATCTTTACACCAAGTATTCTTCATCTGGGCTTATTCTGTTCATCTCCTCATAAACAGTCAAGCCACCATGGTTTTTATCTAGACAAATATCTTTTGTAGGAAGCCACCATGTTTTATGTAGATATTGATACTTTGCAACCATTCCAATTTTGGAGGACTAGTGAGAATGTTCAGCTGCTAGCACATAGCTTCTGCGGCTTGACTAGTTAAAATGTTCATGCCTTCTCAAATTCTATCAATGCTCAAATGTTAACAGGCCAATGACTACCAAGTTCTGAGGTAGGATCATTATGTCTTTTTCTTCTGGGAAGTCAACATTATTCGGAAACAGCCAGATGCACTAACCCAAACAAATTATCCTCGGAAAATGGGGCAGCAGATAAGATGATAGACATTTTAATAGCACTACTTTCAGAACTATAAAGGATTATGGTACAAAAGAATATGCTTAGCTACAAAATTCTACAGCTTTAAGATGCACAAGTCTAAGAAGCCTTAACCTTAAGGTATAATGAAGATGACATAGACACCGAAGGAGAGATTGGTACCATAATTACTCTAAAAACTTACAACATTATTTGTCAGTCAACTAGCCTTTTTCTTAGAAAGAGATAGAAGAATCGTGATGAAGATAGCAGTTTAGAAAGCTTCGGTACTCAGAAAACCAAGCAAATTACCTTCCCCAACATATTCAATTATAAAGTCATCTTTGTTAATTGCTTCAGCAGCCACAACACCCCAACCACAAAGTGCAGTCTAACATGGAACAACAAATATTGTATTAATTGGAGAAGAGTTGAAACAAGAAAGCACAATTGAGCTGTTAAGGAAGTAATATAAGTGCATCAAGAGTCAAAAGATAAATTTCACCTTGACAATACTGATCTTTTTCTCTTTTCTGAATGGCCTGTTGGTGCACATATCAGAACAACGACAAGCCTTTGAGCAGCTGATGGACTGAACCCTGTTGCGTTGCAAGTTTATGGAATTAACATATCAGGCACATGCCAGAATGTAGAAACTAAAACAGATATGTTATTTAAAAGTGTGTCTATTAAGTAAGACAACTGCTCATGAGGAGCATTAGTATGATCAGTAGTTCACACACTACATCGATAAATCCAGAAAAGGTCAACTAGACCAATTGAAATGAACTTCTGTTGCCATTTTATAAATGATCATTATTTGATCCATCAGTTCTATTTTAAGGAGTTCATGCTATATAAATTAGGCAAATTACTACCCTCATTCATGTGTTTCTAAGAAGTTTTGGGTAATCCAACATTTTATGGCAGCAAATTATTGCATTTTGAAATTGGAAAAGGATTTGACCTCCTGAAGTTGCCCTTTAATTAATTTTTTCTTCTAAGATGACCCTCAGGTCTTTCTGGTACATAATCTTCATGCAATTTGTTTCCAAAAATTACTCACCGGTAATAGGCATTATGTATTTAGGGGCTCATAATCTAACAAAATCAGGCACACAACAAAATATTGAGGATTTTCAAAAACATGATTTCTGTCCTAGACACAATACACTAATGCTTTCAGAGATATCTATTGCTGACACTGAATTTCAAAGCATATTTCACTTGAAGACCTGCTAGTATTTCTCAAAGATGATCAAGCCAGATCGAAAATTTTCACCAGATAAATGAAATTTTAAAATACCAAAGTCATATTATAGCATCACTGCTGGCTTTATAAAGCATCTGAAACCATATAAGTTAAGTCCAAGATAAGCACAATGAAGTACATTTTCTTATCAATTTTCTTTTTTCTGCTTTCCTAGTCATCTTTGCTATGAACATATCCTTCACATATTCTGTGCTAGATCCTTTCTTGCCAAAAGAGAGTCAAATCGTATGTGCAATTGGAAAACAGTCTCCTACTCTGCATGAAACTTATACAAATATATCGTTGTGCCTTAAGAACCTGCCAAAGTATGTTTCAAATGATACACCAATAATGTTAAAGCTCAATTTGCTTGACTAGTTGGTCTTAAGTGAGGCTTAGCCCTGAGAACGTTGATGCTAGTTATGTTTTAAATTCACTTCAATTTCAAATAAGTTGCCAAGTCTAGTAATTTTTCAGTTAAGATGTCTAGTTCAGCTTAACCTAGCCAACTCAACATGAACTCCAAGAAATCAAGTTGACTTTGTTGATCATATTCTATCCTAGATTTTGCCAACAAGTAGACACAGACACACAGGAGCATTGTAGTTATATCATAGAACACAAAGTTGCTTTTGACTGAAGACAAGGTAGCATTTTACAGCTCATACTATCAATTCATAACTACTTTATGATGCTAGATAACTCATATCTGGAGTCAAATTGAAACCAAATGCAATCAGCTGAGAAAATACAGTACCTACAGACACAATCCTCGGCACACTCAGTAGAACAGCAATTCGTGCATCCGATGTCAACATCAGCATTGTCTCTCTTTTTCTTAACAAGGTATATATCTACTTAGTTAAGTTCATACAACCAGGATAAGTACAAAAGAGAAACACAAATCTCTTTCATCAACAGCACAGCCAAAATGGCCAAAACACTCAACTGTAAAAAGTTCATTAGCCAAGCAACAACAAAATCTTTGCATGCATAGGATACTTCGCCTGATGTGGACATAAGAGGGTGGCTCCAATTTATGCTCTATCATATCTTTCCAACTTATGTCAATCTTGAACTCCTCTTCACTGTATGGTATAGGTAATTGACAGAATACCTCCTGACATGTTTAAAGGCAAAATAACGTATTAGATGATCTATATTATTAAAACATTCCCTGAAGTTGTTCTCATTTGATGAACCACAAAGAAAGATAATCTAAAAGTCTAACCTCCATGTTATTCGCTGGAACTCTTTGCTGTTTATAAAAAAGATACGTAAGTCCAGTCAGCCAGCCTAATCCATCAAAAATAAGAATCAAGCAATAACAGAAACATAAATTCTGCAAAAGTTAGCAAAAAAGGATAAATAATTTTGATGGTATAGTCCATTTCAATGTGAAAACCAGAAATTTGCTTGTTAAATGGTAAAAGAAGTTGTAATGAATAGGAAACTGTACAAAGGAAGCAACATCTCAACATACATCCAGTTAGATGCAGAAGTGCTTCACCCAGAAAGTATGATAAATTGTTCTGGCAAAAATTTGAAAGATATTGCTAAAAGGGGGAAAATCATTAAAAAAAAAAGTAGAGAAAAGAAAGATGACTAAAAGATCAACCTGTCTCTTAAAATACAGGAAGACCGAGAATGGATTTTTTTTCCTTGAGTCAAGGGGTAAAAATGTTGTCCAAGACATGAGCCTCAAAATCTTACAAGCAACAGCTTGCAATGAGTGCACTGTCTAGTTCCTATGAAAAAGGAAAAAATTCCTTTTCACCATCCAAGAAACAAATGAATACAAAAGCGAGCATGCAGTATTAGTAAAGAAATGTAAATGAAGTGAATTTTCTCATCGTCACTCAAACATCTGTACATGAACAAACATCAAAAAAGTACCTTTATGACAATTAAGTTTAGCCAAGCATCATTTCTTTCTCTCCTCATCCAGATAGGAAATTTTCCATTGATATACCTACATAGCTGCCACATTCTTGGAAATGACTGGACCCAGGTTCCAACAAATTTTTGGTTTTCCAGCTAACTTCCAACATGGGCATGCCAAGAGGACATTTATTGGGTTTAAACCTTCTTCAGATGATGATATGCCCTTTACAACAATCTCTCTTTTTATTTACGACCATCTTTCCCATCAGTAATGAAAGCAAGAATACTTTTATCTTGTCAAATTTTAGATTGGACACCTAGATGCATGTTCTATATATTTCTGTCATATAAATAACACCAAAGGGTAATCACACAGAAGGAAAGATCCATTTTGGCTCCCTCATGGTTATTTTAGAGCTTCCACGGTGTTAAATATAAATGCTTTCAAAATTACAGCCATTACTGCTGAAGATCAAAGACAGTGACTCAAAAGAAATTTCTGAAGGTCTTCAATTTTTTCCTGCGCATCAGAGATTTACATAATGACTTCATGTTACATAGAAGGTGGCACCCTGCAAGTTGCATTTCACTCTAGTAAATAGACCACAACAGACTAAGAAATGACACCATGCAACAGATGGAGAATACAAGAAAAGGGAAACCATATTGAAGAAGGAAGAATTGACCTCTCTGTCACTGTGCCAATCATTAGGATGTCTCCAACAAATCATTTGGCCCTCTTGACTAGGATGATAGATTATATCCTTTGGAAATGCCGCACACTTCAGGTGTGAAGCCATATGACATCTTGTACAGCGTAACAAGTGGATTTTATCTTTGCATAGGAAACAAGCCTATTCCAGCAAAGAATGGCAAAAATATAACCAATGCTGCAGCATCAATAACTTAAACAAAGAGAAAGAAAACTTATCTTCTCAAAGAGGGAGTTCATTGCTGTAAAAGCAGACATGACAATTATATGAAACTATAACAAGATACCAATCCTGTTTGAAACTACAGAAAAAGTTAACAGGGAGATTTCAGCAAAGAACTCCATGAAGTACTAAAACATGGAAACATCTTATGTCAATTCATAATCAATGTCCATCCTTTCTCAGGACTCTATGCAATTACTACTAAAATCCAATCACTCTACACACTGCAAAAGTTTATGACCATGCTCATAGCATCTTTCATCCCACAAAAGATGCAACATTGGGAAATGACATCAAAGATCCAGAGCAAAACTAGCTAAGCTTGAATTCCATGACTAGGTTTTTGTCAAACAAGAATAAGAAACTGGAGCATGAAGATGCTTTATATGACAGTCCAGTGGAATGGAAGAGATCAATTTAACTGAGAAAAACATATCAATGACCAACTTCAAATATTGGGGAAATAGTAATGAGTAATCAGCAATAGACAACGAGCATAAACAGGACTGGTAACAGTCACAAAAGCATTCCAATTATAGAAGCTTCAGCTGAAGGAGAAACTTACATGCTGAGGGCACTTGAATGGTTTTAAGGATGAGAACCGAAGCCTTTCTATGGCACACTTTAAATGATATACCTCCTGACAACTACGAACAGAGCATAATATCTCCTCCTCTGGGAACACACAGCTTTTGCAAACACGACATTCAACCTGAGACGAATGATCAGGAAAATACTAAATTTATCCAGAACAATAAATTGTTTACTGGAAAAAAAATACAAATAATAGCCATCTATGGTATTGCCAAACTAGGAAATGATCACAGAAACCGAGATTCTTGATTGCAGTTTATACAATACTGAATCTAATGCTAGTAACAGGATGAGAATTTCAAGACAAATGAAAGTAATCTTAGTTCCTCTATGCTGCTTGACGAGACTTAAATCTGCCTGTATACCATATGTTATGCAACCTTCTTGAAAAAACATTCAGATCAGAGTAGGTTAATTGTTATGCTACCGTATTCCACATCAGCATAAAGTCACCATTGCAAGTTGAAGCCTTGAGTTTATATTCTCTCTCGACAACGGCAATCTAGATACCTGTAATTTTTTCTAGGAAGTGCTTGAGCATGGTTGGGATATTTTACGAAGTCGAAAAAAATGTGAGAGAGAGAAAAAATACCATCAAAGTTTCCCTTACATTTCTTTTTTCCAGAATAGTCATCCTCAATAATTGTCAAAATTGAGTTAATGTTTTGTGGAACTTCCATGATGGAAACTTCATCAGCAAAGAGCCAAGATAACTACTTTCACTGCAGCAATCAATCAATAGAAGTTTATTCTTGTAATCTCAACCAAAAAGCGTTGAAGCAAATCAAAGGTGCTAAGTACATAAGGTGGGGAAAGAAACTGATTCAACCAATTCGAATAAAGGCAAGGAACAATTATACACCACAAACAAGAAACTCTTTTAAAAGGGAAAACCATGCAGCTAAAAAAATTTATGTTGTCAACCTCTATTTGCAATTCATCCCTCGACAAGCATGAACTTATGGAGCTAGCATGTCAGTAACAAAACATGGAAGACAGAATTTCCATGTGTTTTATCTGAATTCCAACTCAGGACCAGGCACCATGAAGCCAGATTCAAGACTTAGCTGTCACTGTACATCACTGCAATCTGGTTTATAAAGTCAGTTGCATATGACGACATTTCTCATAATTTCAACTTAACACTTCAAACAAGTAACCAGAATATGCCACACCTACTCTCCCAGATAACAAAACCCTTTTAAAAAAGTGAAAAACAAACTCACTGACAATATAATCCTTCAACTCAGCTCACATAGAACAATAACGTCAAAAGTCTCGAGATTTAGCAACTATTTAACTAACATTTCGAAAAGCGTTTCGCAAACAATTAATAAAGTCATCCCTTTCGATCAATACCACAAAGTACCACCAAGAATACTTCCAAACTAAAAACTGCTACAAAAATTAACCAAATTTAAAGAGCAATTACCATTCTTGGAGCATGAACAAGAAAGGGCAAGTAGCATCTATGCTCAGAAACCCCAGAATCAATCCTCCTCTGAACCCAATCTTTCACATGCTCTATCAAGCTCTTATTCCCACCCATTTCAGCACCTGAGCAGATCCTCATAGCACTAATCCCATCACTGCCACTGCCATTGCTAGGATTTTCCAACTCTCCCTGCTCTCTTACCTCGCCCTTCTTCTTGCTGACTTCCCACAGGGAATTGGGGTTCAAGGTTTTCAAATTGAGGGGATTCTCAGCTCCATTCGTGATGGATTTCATGGGATTGGAGCTGGGAACAATGGGTAGTAAAGCTGGTGAGGAAAATATGGATGGTGGGTCTAAATCAGGCATTGTAAAAAAAGGGGTTATCTTGGCAGTGGAGATAGATTTCGGAATTTAGCTTAGGCGGTAAGGTGGGGTGGGGTGGGTGGGGCGGAGGGGGGCGGGGGTAGGGATTTTGGCAGAGGAGACACTGTTGCTGGGGTTTTGGGCGGGAAAGATGAATTTTTGTTACTTGCTTTTTGGGGGGAAAAGGAATTGTACAGAACTTCCAGAAAGAATACTACTACTTTTATTTGTACTTTTATTTATACTACAAAACTAGTGTATATTATTTCGGATTCTTGAATGTATATGCATGAAACCAGCAGCAGTTGGCTACCACTACTGACTTAAAGTTATAAAGTTGGGTGAAAAGTCAAAGATTTAAACTTTACTTTTCATTATTTTGCTATTATAAGTGACTTTTTTAATTTTATATAGGTGCATAATATACTCGTCAGATAATAGTTCCGTCACCATTAATTTCTAATTGATTCAGTTGGATCTCCTCATAGAATAAACTAGCATAGAAGTAGTATTGGATGGTGATAACTTTTTTAATTTTATATAGGTGCGTAGTGTATTCGTCTAAATCGGATAATAGTTTCGTCACCATCAATTTCCAATTGATTCAGTTGGCCTCCTCATAGAATAAACTAACATAGAAATAGGAATAGAAGTAGTATTAGATGGTGACAACTGACCAAAAAAAAAGAAAAGAAAAGAATGTATGTGTACAAAGTATTGTACTATTTGATAGTTAGTACATTATTTTCCTAGTCTGTACTAAAGAATTTGAAAGATTCTAACTTCAAACAATTAATAGTTGAAGTCTAGAGTGTAGCTTATAATTGAATTTTATAGAATAAGAGTCAAAGTGAATAATATACTATCCATGTGAGTCAATATAATTAATGCACTATCGAGACCATTTTATCATTTTAAAAAGGTCAATTCAATGAGATTCAATTGATTAGGAGTGGAAAAACTTTCACTTAAATTGAAATATTATAGGTAAGAGCCCAAAAAAATGTTCATGATGGTAATTTGGAGTTTAGTGTATAAATTGTTTTTTTTTTTGGGTAAACAGTGTATAAATTGTTTAATGGTGATTAGACTTCATTTTAGCGAAACTATTAGTAAAAAGTTGGTTTTGGTATGGTGGGTGGATTAGTATGTCGAACATGCAATTTGGGTATTGGGCCACAAACGAAACAGGGGTTGCCTCGTCGTGATGGACTAATGGGCAGTCACAGGCGTGTGAGATTCAAAACTCAAATCAAATTAAGGATAAAAGTTTTTGTACCGAATGTGATTTTCAAGATATGAAGAAAGTTAAATTTTATATTCAATTAAATATGAGATTTTATTTACATTAAGAGTCACTTAAATTGTATACAAAAACTCGAAGATGAGACCCCACTCTACACCGAAGACGTAAACAACGGGACTCGAACCCTGGTTGTCAGGTAAGTGGTCATACCCTAAAGAGGGGGAGCATACCGTCGAGCTACCCCGTAGGGCATATAATTTGTTGAATGTTAAAGGGAAAATTATAGTTTTAGTCTCAAATGTTTAGCACATGTGCAATATTAGTTCTTAAAGTTTCAACAAAAACAAATCAAATCTCCAATGCTTAGTATTTGCACAATTTTACTCCCTAAAATTTTGACAATAACAAATCTAGTCTCTAATAAATCTAATTTAAACCGATTTAGGATATTTGAAGAACTTTTTCCAATTACTAACAAAATTTATTCATTTGCAGCCAATTGTCCGTTAAATTAAATTTTACAAACTAAATAAACAAAATAGCGACTAACTTAAAATAATAAGACTAAGGACTAGTAACTCAAGTGCTAACTAATTAACCAATAAAATAGATAAAAAAAAATAAGAAAATTGTTAAACTGTAAAATTGAACCACTCGGAACACTCAATTCATCTATGCAGAACTCATTTTCATTGTCTATCCCTACCGCCTCCAAGCAAAAAATCCCTAACATTCAATTTTTGTGTACATTTTAACAAAATTTCTTTTTTGCATATCTTATTTAATTGGTTGCATACATTTCATCACGTTAGTCATTTTTATTGTTCAAATTAACGACTATTTTGCTTTTCAACTATCTTATTTTTTAATAAAAATTTAGCTTAATCAACATGTGATTGCATTTGATTGACATAATTGGAGAAATCCATAAATTATCCTAAATCTATTTCAAATTTGAGATACCGAGAATCAAATTCGTTCCACCGAATCTTTAGGAACTAAAATTGTGCTAAAATGTCAAACATTTGGGGACTGCATTAGTTTTTGTCAAAACTTTAGAGGCTAAAATCATATTTAATTATTAGAAAACATGACAATGATTCATTTGAATGGTAGGCACTTTGGAGCTTCAATATATCTTTATTCATATTGAATTTTCAGCTTCGTTGTGTCTATTGATTTTCAAATTTGTACATATTTGTGACATGTTTATTTGATATATTTTCTACCATTATTGCATATTTATTGCTAGTGTATACAATGTTGATGTGAAAAAAAAAAATAATCCAATTTCTTATGGTATTCAGTATGCCTTTAAAAAGAAAAGAAAAAGAAGAATTCATCAAGTAATGGAGGCAAAATTCCATAGATGATCATGGGAGTTTAAAGTTACATCCTTTCCTTGTGGCTTCCAAAATGCCACCAAATCAAGGGATTTGGGAATCTGCGGATTTTGGAAAACCATTTATAAATTCTAGTAATACGATCCTGGGAACTTTTGAAATTTACACAATGAGAGATGAATGGTGCACTTAAATGAAATTTGTGAAATTTATCTAGGAAAATCATGAAATTACCCAAAAAGATTTCTTTGTAGTCACTTTGTTTCTGCCAACTCCAACAATAAAAGGGAAAAAACCATTGATGAGTTATTAATCTAGTATTCAAGATTGAGATCACTCTCAAGATCTAGACACATTTGGCTTCAAAATTTACGACCAAGATATAAGTGTATTCTAACTTTATGTTAATATTACCCTACAAAAGGGGTTAGTTCTTCTTCTTTTCCCTTTTTTTTTTTTTTTGTTTTGAAGAAATAGGGGGTTAGTTCTAATCTCTTGTATTGGTCTCATAGTTGAAGTTACATAAGTAAATCTTATTTGAAAAACAAAAAGGGAAAAACGGAATCATTATTGCTTCTAGGAATCTAGGGTTGCTTCATGTCTTCATACATGCATATATAACAAAACCAAGCACACCCTTTGGGTCGATGTTTTATATAATAGCTACCAAATTGGTTGCAAGTGACTTTAAATAACTCATAATATATATATCCCGTTCTTTGGGATTATATAATACCATAATTATTGAATATAGGATTAATTTGGTTAACAAGGATACTACTAATCTCAAGTACAAAAACCAACAATAAGAGAAAAGTGCCAAAGTTCTCTAGGTGAAAATTACCATGCATCTTCAATGTACACAAACTTAACAACGTATATTTTGCTGCTTCAGAGATCAGAACATGTCCTCTAGTGTCTTTCATCAGAATTTTTTATGTTAATGATAGCGAAGAATAAACGAAGTTTAAAAAAGAAAATTGGTGGAAGATCTTGAACGAATAATAAGTGTTTCTTCCACAGATTCATCAAACTGCACTTTTTTTTTTCTGCATAAAATTGTTTGTCTTTTTACTTCTTCAAGTAATCCTTCAAACAATCACAACCAATGAGATTTAAAGTACAACTAAAAGAGATTAAATTCCCACAAGGAGATCAAATCACTCGCTAAAATCGTTTCATGCATGAACAGACGACAAATACTCTGCCAAACAAACTAGTGAAACTCCACAAGCAAACCAAATTCAACTAGATAATATAACCATTGTTAAATGTAAACTTAATTTTAAAAAAAAAATTATTTCCTAACCCTAATTGTATGACAGATAGAAAATCCCTCCCAGGAGGTCAGTCGACGACTAAACTGAAAGAATTGCATTCTGCCGGGGATTGTGATACCATTGAAGCTGTATCAGCACTCCAAAACCGAAGCTTTATATCTTCACAAGACAAGTTGATGGTCTTTGTCCATTGCTTCTTGTTTTCCCCTTTAGATGATTTATCCTCAACGCTAAGAGAACCCCATATACCTACGTTGATTACAAAGGTTTGTTTCGACCCTTTATCATCCAATATGGAATCGGCTACCCATCCATCAACAGAAAACGTTGGAAAAGCCACCTCCAGCATCCTCTCCCTCCCGGGTGCTTCGCGAAAAGGCTTCACCGTTGTCGATGAAAAAGTTCTGCCTTTGTGTGCAAGATAAACCTGCATGAACCCGTAGTTGAATGCCAGGTTTCTCGAGGGGTTTGCGGCAAGGAGAGAAACGTTCCAATTGGCATTGATTTGAGCATTGGTGACATTAAAATTAGACATGGAGGCAGAGTGAATTTCAAAACTAGGAACTTCAAGATTAACATAATTATCTTTACTGTCTTCAACGTAAAGAACTGTTAGACAGATGATTACAAAATAAAAAACGACGAGGAGCAAGCAACCAAAAACTGCAACGACTAGCTCAGGAGTTTGCGGTGAATATTGGTTCACTTTACCGTTATCGTCAGCTGCGATGTTTTGGTTGTCAGAACCCAGGACGTCGATAGTAATCATAGTATGCTCCCATCTCCTGTCGGTGTCTGAATTTTGATGATCATCGGACTCGCGGGGCAATCTTCTATATGCTATTTTAGCCATAGTTAATGTAAGCAAAATAAATGGTACGAAAAAGAAGAACAAAGAATGATTTCTGCTACGTAGGAAAGGAAATAATATGGTAACACCTATTTATACAGTGGTGTTTTCAAAATCCAAAGTAGACGTAGGCTTGGATGCCAATTCTATTTTAATAGGAATTTGAGGTTCTATAGGTATCGGGTTGTGGGTTGCTTCTAGGAAAAAGAAACATCCTCAGTTTTTGCTCAATTTGGAAATTTCCCATCAATTTTCATGTATTTGTGTCGTACGTTATAGCTAAAAGTTCTGTTTATTTGTATCAAATTGTGTAGCTCAAACTCCAAATATTGATGACCAAATCAAA